GTGTATTATGACTGTACAAAGGTTTTCTTGATTTCATATACTGTAATGCACAAGACAGAGGGACAGTTACTGAAAACAGTTGGCACTTTGATCATTTAAACCACTAAAAACATGCATTTCTTGCTAAGACCATTCTGTCTTCATTTATCCAGAGGCCGACTGTAAACACTGATATTTATTTGGCCCAAGCTTTCACCAGTGACTTGTTTTGATAATTTGTTAGTAGGCAGGCTACAGCAAAGAGCTGGTTGATATTGCCAGCAATGGTCAGAGGAATAGTGGTGTCAAAGAGTTTATTTTCTTTGATCCACCTATTTGCCCTCTCCACATGTATCCTTAACCTTGCAATGTCCTGAGTGACCAGCACTTCATCACGAGACAGCTGCAACGTTTTTGTCAGAAAAGGTGGTCTGTAAACTTTGCACGGCCCTAGGTCATCAATTCTGAATCCCTTGTCCACCATCGCAGCCATGTCTTTGTCAAGCAGAGGGATAATGCCAGACTGTCTAAACAATTGTTTGTCACTGATAGAGCCAGAATACAATGAAGACACAAAAGTAACAGTACCATGCGGTGCCACACCAATCATTCCTTTCATGGTAGTGTGCGATTGATACTGGGAAAACATTTCACTCTGCAAAAGTAAAGATGAAGGCGTCTGGCATCTCACCTCTGTACAGTCAAAGATGGCTTGGGTGTCAGAATATTTGCCAAACACACTTGGCATCATGGCTCGAATACAATCAGTAGACATCCATATCCCAACAGCACCCAGCAAGGTGTACAAAAAATTAGCCCATGTTCTGATGATCCTGCTGACAGTGGACTGGTTAATGTTGAAGCGATCACTTAAGTCCTTCTCCTTCAGACCCAGTGACAGGTACACCAAGAACAGGAACAGTTCATCAATTAGTGGAAGGCATCAGCTCTGTGGAGGCAGACATGTCTTAGTGGTAATAACAGCCTGGAGACCATAAATGTATGTGTGAATTGAATTACATTATTTAGATATTGGCGTTGTTTTGGGGGATAATTTATCAGTCAGCTGTTTCTATAAGCAAAATTATTGCATTATGAGCTATGCCTACCGGCCGACGAGGTGGTTCAGCATCCTTCTCTGGAACTGCTGTTGTGTCTGTAGTGCATGATCTGGTACCAACACGCACCATCCTCCTTGTTGCAGGTTCAATCTGTCTCCAAAATGCCAGCAGATGGCCGTTCCGCATAACCCCTATACCACTTGATCCAGCTTTTATAAAATAAATCTTTTACCGCTAACTGAGCGTTGCCGCTAATTGAGCGTTGCCGCTAACGAGCGTTGCCGCTAACGAGCGTAGAATCTAGGTTTTATAAAATAAACCTATTGCTGCTAATCGAGCGTAGAATCCAGGTTTTACAAAATAAAACTTGATGCCAGGGATTAGCCTCGTTGCCGCCAATTGAGCGTAGTCACTGTAAAAGTGAGGTTTGGTACTGCTGGGCATCTAATTTTTCACATGCCATGTCCAAGGCTAATGGTTCTGGTCTAGCATTGTAGTCATGACACTGAAGCAGAAATCCTGATGGTTCCTACTTGAAAGAGATTTTCTACCGTCTTGAGAAACAGCATATCAAGCAGCTTCCTGTTTCAGAATTCCTGTACTCATACAGCTCTCAAGTAGTTCTGTGTGGGGGGCATTGGAATAGCAGTTTGGGATTATAGAGTTAAGGTATCGCAAGTTTTGGTGTCTAAAACAAGTGATTTGACTGGGATACCCTCACATGACGTCATACATTACGGATCCATATTTTTCTTAAGGTTTCATCCCGTCAGGTGGGCGCCGCGCCATTCACTGAAACTTGTTGATACATGTTTGTCTAATTTTCTACTATGGCACTAAATACATGAACAGCGGAAGGAATGTAAACCCGACAGCTTGGGGTCGGTATTATATGTAGCAGCCATGAAATGGTGAGGGAAGGTTCTTAAAGAAGACGAAGGGAAATAATTAGACAGATTTACTAGCTGGGTGAAAAGATATGCAAATTAAGGGGGTGTTTGGAGACTGTGAAGGGGCTCCACCGAAAGTGAGTGATTTAACACTGTTCTTGAAGCAAGCTGCAATGAGCGTTGAACAGAATAAACAAAACACGAGCAAAGCAGGACAGCTTAACAAGGGAAAGGCTGTTAAAACGGCTCTAAAGGCAGAAGCTTTTTTTACAAACTGCCAATGTTCCTCCCTGAGGTTAAAATTGCTCTCCAACTCCAGTCCTCTGCATCATTGACCCCACAAATGCCTGTAACAATTCCTGAATCTCCAGAGACACAGCCACTTGAGAACAAAGAAAACGTGCCCACCCCCAACACTGCGCCCCCTCCTTCTGCTGAGGTGCGCTCACTGTTAACTTCTCTCCAGTCTCAAGCTCAAATGCCGCAAAATACACCAACCCAGACCACAGAGATTTCTCCTAACTTGGGTTCCTTGGTGATTGTTAAAAATGGCCTATTGCAAACCGCTCCCTTCCCAGGTAACAATGCCTCCCAGAATGAAACAACTGAATATTTAAATGAAGTATTAGCTTGTAGTACAAACCCATTTGTTTCCATCACACCCACTGCTAAAAGACTACAAACTCCAGGAGTCAGCCAATACACACACTCACAGCCCTCCTTCTGCACTTGCTCTGAGGCCACGCCTTCCCAGTCAGACAGTGCAAACCCTGCAGTTAGTGCTACAGGAGGCTTTGATGTAAGTGGCTTAACCTTTGAAGTTAATGATCTGGGCTCTTCTGATTTAAAGAATAGAAACGTATCTCCAAGCACTACTACACAGAGACTTAATCATGGATACGTCCATGCCTGTTTTGAATCACAGTCCCCCTCTAAGCCTTGGCCTCAAATGCCTTTAGTAACCACCACCTCCGCTAGTGGGCGCACTACTGTACTTTCTCTTACACCCCATTTTCTCTGCAAGACACCGCCATGATCAAATCACAAATGCCTGATATTACCTCTGGAGGAGCACAATAGATTAAAGCCTTCTTAGAGTCTTGTGCTGAAATCATACCTGCGCTGGGAGATTTCAGATGGGTATTTTCATCTTGCACCTCCCTGGGGATGTTGAGAGAAATTGAACAACTTTGTGGCACACATGTAGACGCTGACGACCTCCCCTTACACCATTTTGTTCACCTTCTGTGGCCTTCGGTCCGCCAGAGGTATCCCATTTGCATGAAATCCACAGAGCTATGCCGCATCCCACCCAAAGAGGGCGAGAGAGGCTCAGCGTATTTGTTAAGAGTCAGAGGTCTCTGGCAGGACAGAATAGGAGACGATCCTGCCAGCACAAACATTATTGAAGTGTTGTTTAGAGGAGCACTTGAATCATCCCTGCCCTCTTCTGTTCAAGATGCACTGAAATTAATCATGGGGCTATCAGATTTTTCATTTGCTCTGTGGTCAGCTAATATTATTCACCACATTGATAATAAATTAGAACAACAGGAGCAAGAAAAGAGCGACCTGGCTAGTCTCCAGACACAAGTGGCTAAGTCACAGCTAAAGGAAATGAGAGACAAAGTAAACCAGGCCAAGGCCTCTAAACAGATGCCTCAGCAAAACCCTGCTATGCCACCCCAGCAACCACAAGCTCTGTCACCTGTGCAGCACCACCCACTGCCCACCCTCTATGAACCACGTCTTCCACAGAACTACCCCCCTCCCCTGCCTGCAGGACATCAGTACAGACCTGTGCGTAATAAAAAACAGCATATCTACACCACCAATACTTCTGTCCCACGTAAAAATGATCTCTGCTATCAATGTGGAGAGCTAGGACACTGGGCAAGCCAATGTCGTGCCCGGCCAGCTCCACAATATTCACGACCAGCTGGAGGCACCCCCCAGTATGCTTATAATGCCTACCCTCCTCCAACACCTGGGCAATATCAGGCCCCAGGAGCCAACCAAATAGGGATGCCCAGGGAAGGCAGCAGGTGACTCTTTGTGTTCCCCAAACACGTTCCTCGAGCCTTTAGTAAAACTCACAGTTAACGGCCAAGAGTATATGTGCATGGTTGACACAGGAGCCTGGTATTCCACTCTGAACACGCCACTCCCACTATCCAGGAATACTGTACCTGTTGTTGGCTTCTTAGGACTCACAGAAGAGTGGCCTCTGTCTATCCCTGTTCCCTGCAAGTGGAATTCTTTGTCTTTCTATCACTCTTTTCTCTTATCTCCTTCATGCCCTGTCAACCTACTGGCCAGAGACATCTTGTGCTCTCAAAACATTTCACTTCTTTTGGCCCCAAACCATGTGGACATCACTTTCCCAGATGGGACTGTGCACCGCTGTGCAACCCCCAGACATGCATTGAGTCAAATGGTGCAAACTCCTGCAGACTTGGGCTCTCCTACATCAGAAAATATGACTCCGGCGTTGTTGGGCTTGAGAT